GAAAACAATTGTTTTAGCATATCGTTAGCACAAAGAATAATATACCTTATGTTTAGTTTCATTTTTCGTTTTTTTTTCTTTCCTAAATAAGATTTTTCGCCTACGAGTGACATTCTCAATAAGTTTTTTTTCATATTCAGGATTGGAAATGGAAATCCTAATTAAGAGCGAAGCAGTTCCATCATTATATCACAACGTGCGTTGATGTAAGAGCCTTTTTTTTTGTTTCTCACTCGTCGTTCAAAGCACATTGAAACTTCGATTAAATTCGAATCAGGGCTCATTCAGGAGTGACGCTATTAACTAGATTCTTTTCATATTCAGGGCTCGAATTCGAAACCTCTAATTAAGAGTGAGGAGGTCGCATCAGTACACGACAACCCATGTTAGCGTAAGAGTTTCTTCTTTTTGTTTCTCATTTGGTATTCAGAGGTTTAATTAAATTTAGATCAGGATCCATTCGAACTCAAAATATCTAATTAAGAGTAAAGTAATTTTACTACTACACCACAACTCGTGTTGACGACGTAAGAGTCCTTTTTGTTTTGTTCTCAATGGGATTTATCTCAAACTCTATTATCCAAAGACAAAGTGGAGGTGGGAAAAGTACTTAGTGGGCCGACGCCATTGGTTTCTATTGGGCTCATCATTTCCCCACTTTCTTAACCGCGTCAATTTTAGCCGTTTTTTGGCTATGTTTTTCGAGAATTTGAATATACAAATATTCCAAGTACAATCATTAATTAATAGAAAAACATTAAAAATATCTATAAGATTATTAATTTTATCTCTAAATTATTGAAAACTTTTTACTTGACAAACTAAACTTAGATACACTTCTGATTTGTCACATAACATAGCAAGCGGCCTCAAACTCTTGTAGAATCGTGAGAATCTTATAAAACCAGAGAGAAACGTTAAAAAAACTCTTAAACTAGACGCGAATTTAAAGATGTACTATTCACTAGATTATGTGTGCATTTAAATTCAATTAATTAAGTAAATAAATACTTAAAATTTGTTAATAATTTAAAAATAAAATTAATATTTTATATCAAATTCAGAAGTATTTTCATTGCGGAAGATTAAACATGTTTTTGGACCATGAAAGTCAAATAAAGATTCTCATTTTGACAGGGAATATCGATAGAGAATTTCTTCATATTACCAGTATTAATATTAATGTACTGATTTTATGTCGGTAGGTACTTTAATATTCAAAATAATATTTATATCTCATTTGTTTTCACCTTCAAGAATTCAAACACAAACCGGAAAAATAAATATAAATTGAAATATTGCATGGATTATGATGTCAGTCAAAGCTCTACAAAGGAGTATAGTAAAGAAATTAGATTCAAATGTGAAAAGAAATATTAAATTGCATATAATATTGATTAAATTATAATTAAAGAAGCACGTGAGTATTATATTTCCGATAACCTCATAAATTTGGGATATTGATATTTAGATACAGTGATTCGAAAGCGAATAGCGTTAAACGTATATTAGTAATGAGCGAATTTACATATGATTTTATACAAATATTAGACTTAGTTATATAATACTAGTTAATTAATTATATATATATATATATATATATATATATATATATA